AGTTATCCTAACCAAATACTAACAAGACAACATCCAAGACAGAAAAAAAAAGAGAATACATATGTTCAATGATAGCTTGTTGCAGTGTTTACACATCTAGGCAGCATGGTTGTTGACTTCATAGTGAAAATAATTTCACACAAAAATAACTAAATCAAAAGTTAGAGAGAGGGGAAGAGGGGAGGGGACAGAGAAGAGGAGGGAAACAATAAGAGGGAAGGAGGCAATGGGGAGGAAAAGAGTTAACATTTACTGTGTTCTCCCTGCCAAGAACTGTGCTAAGCAATTTGTGTGCATTATCTCTTTTTTTTTTTTTTTTTCAAGTTTTTATTGTGAATTGAGAGATAGTTTACATGGGAGAACACCGGGTTTACACTCATCGTTTCATTGCAATGATTAAAATCCCCTCTGTGCATCATCATTCAACAGTATTTGCTTTCATTCCCTATTTTGTTTTGTTTTTTGGGAGGGGAGATATACACAAAAACACTCAGGAATATATAATAATTTAAACAACCAAAGGGCACATTCTGCAAGCCTGCCTTCTGGCTGCCAGCACTCATTCTTTCTCTTTCCATGAGTCTAGAGTCCTCATATCTGCTTCCATCTCTAGTGTTGCCTCTCTGGATAGGGTCCCACATTCCACTCGTGCATTACCTCTTTTAATTTTAACACTCTTGTGGTACTATAGGATAGGTACTGGACTGTTAACCACAAGGTTGGTAGTACAAACCCACCAGCCACTCTTTGGAACCCTTTTACAGGGCCGCTCTGAGTCAGAACTGACTCCATGGCACTTAACAATAACAACATTATTATGCTCAACTTACAGATGAGCAATAAAGGCTCAGAGAGGTTACATCGTATAGGCATTCCAGGTTACAAATGAGATGTTTCTCTACGTGTCTCTAAGTTGAATTTGTAGGTAAATTGGAACAGGTGCATTTGTAGTTGGTTTGATGTTTTTAACTTCGGTTGAGTGAAAGAAAATTTCTCTTAGTGAAAGAAAAGGAGCCCTGGTGGTGCTGTAGGAGAAACACTGAACTGCTAGCTGCAAGCTCAGCAGTTCAAACCCACCAGATGTTCTTTTCTTCAGGAGAAAGATGAGATTTTCTGCTCTTATAAAGATTTAGTCTCTGAAAGCCTACACAGGGTCACTATGAGTTGGAATTAACTCAATGGCAGTGAGTTTGGAATTCTGCTTGAAGTAAAAGAAAGGAGCCCTAATGACACAGCAGTTAAGTGCTTCACTGTTAACCAATAGGTCTGTGGTATGAACTCATCAGCCACTTGGCCAGGAGATAGTTGTATTAGCCTGTTTCGTAAAGATTACACCCTTGGAAACCCAATGAGCAGTTCTTCTTTGTTCTATAGGGTCACTCTGGATGGAATGTACTTGATGACAACAAGTTTGGGTTTTTTTGGTTTTGGTGCAAGAAAAAGCTCAAAAACTTTTCAATTATTCAAAACTGCCCATGCAGCAAGTGAAAGTGATTGTGATGAAGAATTTGTTGTGAGTAGAAGTTGGTTCAATTGTTTCAAAATGAGGGCAAATATATCTAACATTAAATTTGAGTATGAGTTGGTAGGTTGGATGTTTGTAACCTTGGGACTTACTGAACAAAAATCCAAGATAGTCTGATATCAATAGCCATAATATTGCTTACTATGTGTTTTCTGGGAGTCCCTAGATGGTGCAAGCACTTAACACACTCAGCTGCTTACAAAAAATTTGAAAACTCAAGTTCATCCAGAGGCACTTTGGAAGAAGTTCCTGGTGATCTACTTCCCAAAAAAACAGCAGTTTGCTTGTTTGTATTCTTATGTGTGTCTGTCTTCTCCTCTTGATCCAACCAGTGGGAGACAGCAACTACGTTCATACGACCCAGCAACAACCATACCTTCTGCAGCTCCATTCACTGGGAAAGAGCCAATACTCGCTCCCAGGTCACCTGATCAACAACAGATAGCAGCCAACACCAGTCAAACCCATCCTGAACTGAGCTGCATGAACGGGGAAAAGAGGATTATGGATACATGTCCATTCTGTAACAACACCCACAGGAGACAGTTGGTGAGAGCCTAAGAATACCCCTACATAAATCATCAATTAAATACAAATACAACAGCACCACAACGTCCTAGAAACAACAGACTATTTTAGTTCATACGAAGAAACAAGTGGCTCAAATAAATGACCAAAACATAGACATAGAAAACATATCTGAGAAAGAAAAGGTAATGGTACTATCTGAGAAAAAACTTAAAAGAATGATATTTAGGTACTTTCAATAGACTGACAGAAAGATCACAGAAAGCAAGGAGAACACAGGAAAAAACAAAACACTTCAGAAAAACACTGCAGGAGCAAACAGAAAAAATGAATGCAAATTTAGAAATAATACAAAACCTATAATTAGAAACTCAGAAGATAAAACTTAGATTTCAGAAATGCATAATACATTGATAGAGCAAAGGAATAGATTCAAATCAATGGAAGCCTGAATTAGTGAGTCTGAAGAATAAAACTACTAATAGTACAATGCTAGAACAATCAGAAAAAAAAAGAAAAAATCGGAAGAAAATCAAAGATTTATGTGGGACACCATAAAGAATAACATGGGTGAATAAAATTCCATAACAGAGAAAATTGTCAAAGAATTTTAAGAAAACTTCCCTAACAACTTGAAAGACAAGAAAATAAGCACACAAAAAGCTGAATGCACCCCAAAAAGGACAGACCCCAAAAGAAAATCTCCAAGACATACCATAAATCAAACTTTCCAAAATCAAAGACAAGGAAAGAACCCTGAGAGCAGCTCAGGAAGCACGAAAAGTTACCTGCAAAGGAGAATCAGTAACACTAAGCTTGGATTTCTTAGCAGAAACCATGTAGGCAAGAAGGTAACAGAATGACTCATACAAAACTAAGAGAAAAATAAATTGCCAACCAAGAATCATATACCCAACAAACCTGCCCCTCAAATATGATGGCAAAATTAGGATATTTCCAGATAAATAGCAATTAAAAGAATCTGTAATAGCAAGACTAACTTTTCAAAAAATTCTAAAGGGTGTTCATTTTAGATTGAAAATCAACACCACCAGACAACAACCTGAGATTAATATACATGACAACAACAACCAGAACACAGTCCAGATATAGAAGTTAATATTTAAAGTAAAAAATCCTTGAAAATAGGGAAACAGAGATATTAATATATACACCTACAAAGCAAAAAGATGGAATAAGGTAGATACTGGTGAGGAAGTCAAGTAGATCTTAAGATAAACTGTTTTAAACAGGGGAAGAAATTAATAAATTACAGGGTAACCTCAAAGAAAATTAATACATCTTCACTTCAAAATAAAACATAAAAACTAGAAATAATTAATAAACATTAACACAACAGAAATGAAGAAAACCCATAAACAAAATAAACAGTACAGAAAATTACATGACATAAAGAAACCAGCAGAACCCACCACGAAAAATCATACTACAAAATAAAAGCATTTCATACCTATGGATAATTACACTGAATATAAACGGATTAAATGTGCCAGTCAAGAAACAGGGAATAGCAGAATGGACAAGAAAACATAATCCTTCAATATGCAGTCTACAAGAAACACACCTTACAATCAAAGACAATATATACATATATATATAACAAGCTAATGGCAATCAAAAAAGAGCAGAAATGTCAATATTAATCTCTGATAGGGCAAAAACCAGCAAAGAAGGACATGACTGAAGGGTCAATTGAGTAAGAGGACATAGGCATAATAAATAGCTATGGTCCCAATGAAAGAGCATCAAAACACATAAATCAAATCTAATAGAATTTTAAAAAGGGACAATTCTACAATAACAATAAGAAATTTTAATGCATCATTTTCCATGAAAGACAGATCTAGAAAGACACTCAACAAAGACATATAAGACCTAAATAACACAATCGACCAACTTGATCTCATAAACATATACAGAGTTTTCAACCCAACAACACAATATGCATTTTTTTTTCTGTGCACATGGAACATTCTCCAGAACAGACCCTATGTTAGACCACAAAGCAGGCCTCAATAAATTTAAAAGCATCAAAATACTATAAAGCTAGAAATTAAAAATAGGAAGACCAAGGGGAAAAAAATCAAATATATGGAAATTGAATAACAACCTGCTAAACACTAATGGGTAACAGAAGACATAAAAAATGAAATTAAAAAACTTCCTTCAATCAAATGAGAACAAAATCACAACATATTAAAATCTTTGGGACACAGCAAAAGCAGTGCTCAGAGGGCAATTTATAGCAATTAATGCACACATTCAAAAAGGGGACAGAATCAAAATGAACACTTTAACTCAACATCTCTAATAATTAGAAAAATGGCAGCAAAATAAGCCTAGAGCCACCAGAAGAAAAGAAATAAGTAGAAAGCAGAAAAACAATAGAAAGAATCAACAAAACAAGAAGTTAGTTCTTTGAAAGGATTAATAAAATTGACAAACCATTTGGGAATCCAACAAAAGAAAAGAATGAGAAGACAGAAATAAAATGTGTAAGAAATGATATGGGTGACATCACAAAGGACCAATGGAAATAGAAAGGATAAATCAGAATACTATGACTCGACAGCACTTAACAACAGTAACATTTCACAACACAAGCTTATTTTTTAAATGCTGTACGTTTATCCACAGATCCCAAACAATTCACAACCTACTTCAATCATTGTTCACGTTCATCCCTGTTCCTCTGAGGAGAGCACAGATCTAACTCACAGGAGAAGCCGACATCTGTAGGTAGAATGAGGTCAGCAACAGTAGCAGACTGAATGTCTCCTAACTAATCTTTAACTTTCAAATTCCTCTCAAAGTTTTCTTTTGGTACTTCTCCACAAGTTTTCTCTTTAACTGAAAAGTCAGTTAACTTAGTCTGCTATTAAAAAAACACCATCACATACACACACACATAAAAAGAAAAAAATCCGAGCATGTCTTCCTTTAAATGATATGTTTATATAAGTAATCAGAGCTTTTGAAGAATCACACACCAGTTTCCCTGATCGTAGTAGCTTTGCAGAATGCTGACATTACTCAGAGTCTGGCAGGCAGCTTCCAATTCTCCCTCACAGAATACATGGTAGTAACGATGAAACACTGGACTTGGGTCAAGGGATCCTCCTGGACCCAATGGCTCAACAGGTTTGTCTTTAGCAGGATTTCCCTTAAAGTGCCAGGGAACCAGCAAGTCTTGAGAATGAAAAGAAGTCCTGTTGGTATGAATAGGCAGTTTAGAATGAGTAACTTTACTTGAATGACAGCCTCCCTCCTGGAAGTCACTAATGCCAGGGACAGAACATGCTGAATCTTGATTATCCACATCAGGTATTTGCTCCACAAGCAACTCTTGCACTGATGCATCACTGTTAATCTCCTTTTTCTTTCCTTGGCTATTTCTGTTTCCTCTTAGATACTTGGACTTCTGCTTATTGTATTCTTGTTCCATTGCCCAGACGTAAATGAGTGCCTTCCCACCAGGTCTCAGGAGTCGAACAAGTTCTTGTAGAGCTGCCACTCTACGCTCCTAATTTAACAACAACAAATATTACTAACCAGGAGGAGATAGAGAACGGATAAGAAATACATCGACTGTAGGACTGTTTCAGTTAGGATGGGGAGTGCAGAAAACTTAACTCTATATAAGAAAAGACAGACGAGAGAAGGGCCATTTGTGATGTGATTGAGAAAAATGTGTTGAAGAAGTAGGGCAAGACAATTCTATTTCTTTCACCATCTTCCCTGTGACTCCTCCTCTGACTGACTGGCTGGTATACATGAGACAACTGGTGACCTACTGAACAGCTTGAAGCAGCATTAGGAATCACTACATTATAAAACGCTTGCTGTACAAGGGAGGCTTCTACTTCTGTTCTAGATGAAATAGCTTGCATTGGACTAACCCTTCCCCTGAAAACTAGCATAACAGGTAGATGAAATACGTAAAACAGCTGCTTAAAGGCACTGAAGAGTCACACTGCAGGTAAGACTTGCAGGCTATGAGTATAATCCCTCAGAGAAGGAAATTAAATAAGGTGAGCTCTACATTCACCCCAGCTTTCTTTTGAAGTTAACTGGAGGCCAAGAAGGCCAAACTTCGTCTCTCACACTTTGGGCATATTGTCAGGAGGGAACAGTCCCTGGAGAAGGATGTCATGTTTGGTAAGGTGGAGAGTCAGAGAAAAAGAGGAAGACCCCCAACGAGATGGACTGGCCAAGTGGCAGCACCAATGGACTCAAGCGTGGCAACAGTAGTGAGGTTGGCCCAGGATTGGGCAGTGTTTCGTTCCACTGTGCATAAGAGATCTCTATGGATCGGTATCGACTCAATGGCACCTAACAACAACAAACAACCAATTTACAATGTGGAATACAGGATACTAGCAGGAAGAATCAATCTTCTAGGTTGAGAAAACCGAGACTAGAGTCAGGAAGGTCAAAGGAGCTGAGAATTGAAAGACAGAATCCTGGAAAAAGGGGAAGTGAAAATCTATATGCAAACTCCCTACACGGTATTTGCTATGAATTGGAACTGACTCGACAGCGCTTAACAACAGTATGTTCAAAATGCTTGAGGAAACGATGAAGATTTCATATAAAATATAAAAATTTAAAAAGTCAAACATAAATTCTAGGCCCCAAAAATATAACTGTTATTGTTGACTAGTGCCATCAAGTTGGTTCCGACTCATAGTGATCCTGTATAGAGCTTCCAAGGAGCAGCTAGTGGGTTTGAACCACCAACCTTAAAGTTCAAACCGACCTTGTGGTCCAGTGCTTATCCTGTAGTGCTACACCAGTTTAATAACAAATTAGACACATCTGAACAGAGAATGACTGAAGTAGAATTCAGGCCAGTATAAAGTATCCAGATTGAGGCATAGGCATAAAAAAAGGAAGGAAGATACTGGAAGCATGTCAGTCCAAAATTATATACCTACTGAAAATGTCTTTTACAATGAAAACAAAAGTAAAAGCATTTCAGACACATACAAGCTGAGAGAATTGGTTACTTATACTATGTTGTTTTTAGGTGCCATGAAGTCAGTTGTGACTCATAGCAAACCTATGTACAGCCAAATGAAACACTGCCTGGTACCACACCATCCTCACACTCACACTCACGTGTGAGTACACTGTTGCAGCCAGAGTGTCAACTCATCTCATTTAGGGTCTTCCTCTTTTACATTGGACCTCTACATTACAATGTCCTTCTCTAGGTACTAGCTTTTCTGAAAACATCCCCAAAGCACACGAAACAAAATCACCAACTTCTGGCTGCTCTTCTTCCGTTCGACTTCTGGAAGTCCATGGTATATTCAATATTCTTCAGCAGCACCATTAACTCAAAGGCATCAGTTCTTTCACCTTCCTTATTCACTGTCTGCCTTCCCCATGCATATGAGACAATTAAAAATACCACGGTTTGGGTCAGGGGCAACATAGTCCTCAGAGTAACGTCTTTGCTTTTTAACACTTGAAGGAGATATTTTGCAGCAGATATGCCCAATACAACATGTGATTTTGTGACTAGTGCTTCCATGGGTTTTGACTAGGTAAATGTTGGCACACACTGGTTCTTTCAACTACATAAATAAACCAAAAACCCACTGTCATCAAGTCAACTCTGACTCATAGCAGCCCTGTATAGGGTTTCCAAGACTGTCCATCTTTATGGCGGCAGAAAGCCAAGTGAAGGGGATTTTTTAATATACTGGTCTAGTTGCTGCTTTCAAGCTTTTATCTAGAAATAATTCACAGTAATGCTTCTAGGTGCACTGATGGCTAGTGACTTCAACCATAAAGAGCTTCCTCTGTCCCTTTTGCCTCAATCTAGCAGAATCCCCTGGCTATTGATAAAATTAAAGAGCTGGGATTAAAAGGACAAATGACATAGAACGTTCTCCCTTTCTTAAAATTCCATTAAGGTCATAAGGTCTACTGACCCTATTTCCATTAAGGTCATCAGTGACCCTATTAGAGGGTGATCTATAAAGATAATTCTTAGGTCAGGTGAAAAACCACTGCCACCCAGTGAAAGTAAGTTTGCTTCTTTTTTTTCGGTAAGAGAAATATAAGATACCAACTTCACTTATTTAAAAATTGTGAAATAAGTGACTAATTTTAGAAATCTATGTCATACTACTAAGGAGCTCTGGTAGCGTAGTGGTTACGAATCAGGCTGCGAACCTCAAGTTCAGCACTTCAAAACTACCAGCTGTTCCATGGGAGAAAGAGGAAACTTTCTGCTCCCGTAAAGATTTACAGCCTCAGAAACCCTGTGCAGGGTCGCTGTGAGTCTGAACCAATTCCACGGCACACAGCCATTACCATGTCATACTACTACTAGCTATATGGGGCAGAGTTTTAAAAAATGAGGGAAAAAAGAAAGGGTACTAAGTGAGACTCATATGATAGTGATGAAAGAGAGGGTTCAGAAAGAAATAATGAAAATAGAAATAAAAACAAGCTCAGAGTCTGAGAAGAGAGCAATCAACAGGCCTAAAGCCAATGAGACTCTCTTAAGAGAGTCTTCCAGCTAAAATTCTGTGACTTTGAAGGCAAGCTAGAGTCTTATTAGGCCTTTGGCTAAAAAAATGTAACTAACTTCCAAGAAGCCCATCTCCATTTCACATGTTTGGATTTTTTTTAACAATCAGGGCAAACTGTGGGACAGCAAGAGAAGAAAATGAAAAGAAGGAAAAGCTAAAAAAGGGTCCATGACCACTGTTGCCACTCTGGTTACAAGTTCTTGGAGAAGGGAACACTTACTGCTGTTGCAAAATGGTGAATGACAGCGATGGAGATACAGGCATCACAAGACCCACTGCGGACCGGTACTGCCAACGCATCACACACAAAGGCCTGAAATTGCCTCTCCCGACAAATGTCCACAAGGTTTTGGCTACGATCACAACCAACCTGTAGCAGAAAAAGGAAGAATTTCAAATATTTTGCTTAAATGCCATGAGAAATTAATAGCTATGAGCTAACGACATGTAACCTTAAAGTAATTAGACAGATCTCATATTCACTGTGAAATGATCTGAGACTGTGACATTATCAGCTCTTTCACCCAGTATAAAGCTGAAATGTATATAGTGCAGGGCAGTGTTTATTATCTTAATAAACATCAAACAGAACTTAGTGAATGGGGACAAATTTGACTAGAATAAAAAACTAACAATGATAGGAATGAAAGGTTCTAATTTGCAACATTCAGAATCTGGATCTTTCTGTAATACCATATATCAAAAAATGGAAATTATCCCATAAATACTGACAATAACTACAAATATGATGATGTAAGAAATCTCTGATTACTATATACACAGATTAGGAAGGCCCAGAGTAGCTTGAGAATAGATTTTTTTTTTCTGTTTCTCTTATTACTTTTACCATCACACACACAAAAAATCTCAAAACAAGAGTAAAATAATTTCCTTCTTTTTTAAAAAGTTTTTATTGTGATTTCAGTGGAAGTTTACAGGGCATATCATCAATTTTACATTCAACAAATCATACAATGATTGTAATTTCATTACAATGATTATAATTCCCTCTATGTACCATCAGTTAACAGTATGTCTCTCTATTCATTTTAGCTCTTTTTATTGGGTGGTTGTTTTTTTTAAGACACTCAGGCATATATAATAATTTACACCACCAAAGGGCACATTCTGTAAGTCTGCCTCCTGGCTGCCAGCTCTCAGTCCCTCTCTTTCCATGAATCTAGAGTCCTCAGCTGCTCTCTCACTCCATGTCCCCATCTCTGCCTCCATCTCTGGTGTTGCTGCTTCTCTGGGTAAGGTCTCACATTCCGCTTGTGGGCTTCTCCCTTGATGGTCCTAGGGTCCTTTGTTACTGGACTGTAAGATTGACTACTCCCCCATTTTTGTTATAAAACTTCTACCTTTACATTGTGATAGTCGCAATTAGTCATGATAAAAATTACTCACTATTGAATCATAAGTATCTTATCCCCATCTTTTTTTTTACCAGACCCATCTAGACAAGATGAAAACTATTCAGTGGGAACTCTATCTTTGCCGGCACACTCTTTATCTAAACTCCCTCTTGAAAACTTGTAAGTCAGTCACTTCATGCGTTTATCACCCCCTCATTTTAGGTAGCCAATGTCTAAGTTGCCCGTCCCTATATACCCTATATACACAGGGGATAGCATTGATACTTAATGTGAAGACTCTTTCCCTCTCTGTTGGTATTTTGAGCTACTGCATCTAAGAGTATAAGTCAAATACATCAAATTGTAGCAATTTACCTTTGTTTCCATTAAAAAAAAACAAACTTTTTTTTATCGTTTTCTAGTTCTGATTCTCAAGCCACCGAGGTTAGTTCAAATGGGTACTATCTGCAAGTTTGGGCATTCTTGTGTGTCTTCCCTCACTTCATATCAGCTGGATGTTTCACTCTCAGCTCTAGCCCTCTGTGGCTATGTCCTTATCCATAGACTCAGGAGTCTCCATGTCTCACCACCGTTTGGACCAACCAGCCCTTCCTCTTCTCTCATATCCAGGTTAACAGGAGTCTATGGAAAGTGAACTCAGCCCATTTCTTCATTGCTGCTTTTCCACATCTTCCACTTACCAGTAGACCAATGTGATCACCAGCAAGCTTACATGCCTGCACATATGTTCCCTTTGAGTTTTATCTTAGAGGGGGGTTTGTCCTGAAGGGACTCGATTCCTTGCCTTGATGGCTTCCCGACGAACAACTTGCTTATACTTGCAGCAGCCAATCAGACTGCCATTTTTGTTTTTGGTTTTTCTGGCTGGTCTTTCTTTGAAGATGTATCTTCTGTTACTCTAGCTGTTCCAGGCTGGTCTGCTTGTCCTTTCTAGTGGGAATGTTCTGGATGGAGCTCAGGATTTCACCTAAGATCCTGTATACTACAAAGGCTCCGCAAGAGGCCTATTTCACTGAGCATGTTCTAGAACCCCTTTTAGGTATTCCAATCAGTTATAGGCTAATTTCCTTAATTTTTAAAAACTACTGAGTTTTGTTCTGCTAAATGCATGACCCATATATCATGAGTAAACTACTAAATTCAAAACTTGTAAAATGCTATCTAATTAAGCCTTTTTGTATCACCTAGCGGTCCAATGGGATGAGGGCACTGAAGGCAGCTAGCTGCATGCTTTCATCTCTTCGAGCAGATGAGGCCTAACATGTCTGATACATGTGTCTTGTTCTAGTGGAGGAGTCTGGGGTAAGAACTTTTCACCTTCTCTCTAGTTCTGGTTGTCTTGATATTTTTGAATATATATAGCTCTAAGATTTCTCTCTCTCGCTCTCTCTCTTTCTCTCTCTATATATACATATATATACATATACACACATATGTGTGCATGTACGTGTGTGTGTTGTTGTTAAGTGTTGTGGGGTTGGTTCCAACACCTAATGACTCTCTATAGTTTTTGAGGATTTAAATCTTTGCAAGAGCAGAAAGTCTCATCTTTGTCCCATTATATACAGTGGTGGTAGTGGTGGTGTGCCGTGGAGTTGGTTCTGACTCATAGCAAGCCTGTACAAGGTTTCCAAGGCTTGAAATTTTTATGGGAGCAGAAAACTCATCTTTCTCCCGAAGAATGGGTGTTACTTTCAAACTTCTGACCTTGAAGTTAGCAGCTGACTTGTATTCACTCCGGTATATACATATATATGTGTGTGTGTATGTATGTATACATACATACATACACACACACACATAGAGAGAGAGAGTCCTGGTGTGGGGCTGTGGGTAAATGCATCAGACTGCAAAGCTGTTTGAACTGCAAGGTCAGCGGTTCAAGATCACCAGCTGCTTCTTGGAAACCCTAAACAGGATTGCTATGGGTCAGAACCAACTAGAAGGCACTTCACAACAATATGTACACACACACACACACACACACACACACACACACATATATATATATACACACACACACACCTACAAACATATACATATATACACTCACATGAGGGGGCTTCAAAAAGCTTCTGGAAATGAAGAATTTTTCCAGGAACTTTTTGAATCCTCTTCTTACATGTTGTTGTTAAATGCTGTTGAGTTCATTCTTACTCACAGCAACCCTGACTAGGGTTTCCAAGGAGCAGCTGGTGCATTTGAACAACTGACCTTACTGTTCAAACCAGCCTTGAGGTTAAGTGCTTATCCTACAGTGCCACATCAGGACTCCTACTTGTATATAGCAATGGACAACTGTAATGTGGAAAAGGAATGGGAGGGACTGAAGAAATGTTAAATTATCCCTAGATATTTCTTCTTAACCTAATCTCTATAGTATGGAAAAGAAATACATATGCAGATTTAGTGAAATAGAAGTGGCCACTACAATTTTACATTCACTCATTTCCAGTGTTTATCCCATAGCTCCACACCAGGACACCATAGGGTTCCCTTGTTCTTATTGTTGTCAAGTGTCACTGAGTTGGTTCCGACCCACAGCAACCCTGCAGTTCATACCAACCTTATGGTTGAGTGTTTATCTTACAGAGTTACATTAGGATTCCTAAGGGATCCCTTAGGCCTTTCTGGAAACAAAAGACACAAATCTTAATGTGAACACAATCTGCCGTGTAGAGGGTTGCTTTGAATTTGAACCAATTCAATGGCACCTAATAACAACAACATGTACGATACAAGCCTTGGATTATTTCATTTCCTCCATATTCTATGCCACTGAACCAACAGCCACAATACTCAAAGGAAAATATTACTCAAATAACATGCTTATTATATTTTGGTGCTTGCTGGCTTTTGTTACAATCAAATTCTATTCACTGATTCAGAAGTTTTAAGCGTGCCCAATTCTAACAAATAGCTATCTCTTGCTAAAAGGCAACAAGATGAAATCTAATTTGCTTATACAACAAATTCCCAAGAGATAAGAGTTCAATATTTTTAGAGGAGGAAAGTTATTATATGAAAGCCACAGATAAAGTATAATAAGAACAGCAGTAGCCAAATAAAACAAGAGAAAACCCCCATTTCCCTCCTGGAAGGCATCTGTGTTATTTATACACAGCACTGCTTTTCACCAACAAAAGAACAGGGGCACTTTTTGTAATAAAGCATCAAGTCCAGAGTCCTAGTGTGGTGCTGCAGGATCATGCACTAGTCTACAAGGTCAGTTTGAACCACATGGTTAGCAGTTCAAACCCACCAACCGCTCCTCAGAAACCCTAGACAGGGTGGCTACGAGTTGGAACCTACTGGATGGATGGTACTGCTACATAACAACAATAACTTCAGTACTTTCACCTCTCACTGATTTTGCCTAAGTCTTTCATTTACAAGTCAAATCATCACTCTTGTTTTCTCTTTGCCTATTTTTATACCAAGGACAGTACCAAGCATTTGAAAGGAGCCCTGGCTGTGCAAGGTTAAGCATTTGGTTCAAACTCACCCAGGAGTTCCACAGGAGAAAGACCTGGTGATCTACTCTTGCAAAGATTACAACCTACAAAACCGTATGGTGGGCAGTTCTACTCCCTCACACTCAATGGCTATATGTTAGTATCAACTGGATGGCACAGAGTAACAACAAAATTTTGCACAATGTCAAGTTTTGATAAAAAATGGCTTATTTTAAAAATCCTCATCTATTTAAAGAATTATACAAAAGTACATGATTTTGTATGGTAGAAGATCAATAACAAAAAAATACGCATTGGGCTTAAATTGTACAAGGGGGCTTCAAAAAGTTCATAAAAACCGGAATTATATCATGAATGTTTTGAAGTTTTGTATATTTTGTTCCTATATATATATTTTTAAATCTTCAACAAAGCATTAAGCATGCAATTCCGGAATTGCAGGTAAAGAACAAAATATATTTAAACTAGTAATCAAAGTTACAGACCACAGCTCCATTTTTCTCCCATTAAACTATCAAATATTTGAAAATCAAAATATACAAGGGTGATCAAACTTATTCTCATATAGTGACAGTACTAACTGACTCAATATTTTAAAAGCAATTTGGCAAACCATTTTTTTTATGAAGATAAAAATGGTCACAATGTTTCTAAATAGTTATCCCAAGAAAATAATACAAAACATGAAAAAAACCCCAAAAAAAAACAAAAACCTAAACAGGCTAATAGTAACTGATTACCTACTCACTAGTATTTAAACAGATTCTTTGCATTTGTGTGTTTAATCCTTACAATACATCTTGAGTTAGGTATTATTATCCTCATATTGTATATGAAAAACCATTATCAAAAAACACAGATAATTTGCCCCAAGTTGAACAGTGGAGAAGTGATGGAGCAGGGATTTAAATCTGGGTCTTTCTCATTTCATCTTTCCATGTTCTTCCTTCTTCTCACACCGTATCTCAACATACATGTTCGTTGTTGTTGTTGCTGTTAAGTGCCGTCGAGTTGATTCCACCCCATTGTGACCCTGTATAAGGTTTCTGAGGAGCAGCTGATGAGTTTGAACCACTGGCCTTGCAGTTCAGATGGATTTGCAGTCTGGCGCATTAACCCACAGCGCCACATCAGGACTCCACATGTTCATCTAGATGTTATTGGGCATTTCTTTTCAGTTTTGTGCTATTATAAATATCAGATGTTCATTAGTGATATTTATAATAGCACAAAACTGAAAACAAATGCCCAATAACATCTAATTAATGGCACAGTATCAAGTCCCGGAATTTTATAACTATACATACCAAAATGCAAAAGTTAAATAATAAAAATGAGTTATCAAATTACAAATAGATTACTATATAAAGTAGAAAAACACTGGAAGACCATTCATCACAATAAACTGCTGAGTAGGGTGACAGAATTATAAGTGAATCTCTTTCCCTTCATACATACTGGAAATTGTGGTTATATAATTTTTATTTCTAAAAATACAGATATAGTTCAAAGTGTGGAGACACAGGTCAAGAAGGTAAGTATAGTCATAAGAGCCAAACTCTAGAGCTGACCTCTGACTTCACAGATAAACAGCTGTACAACCTAGGAAAGCTATTTAGTACCTGAGTAACCGTTTCTTTGTTTTAAAAAAAAAGACTATCTACTTCTCAGAGTTAATATAAGAATGATATGATGCATATTAAATATTTTACTAACCATACACTAAACCTAAACCCATTGCCATCGGGTCAATTCCATCTCATAGCAACTCACAGAAGAGAGCAGAACTGCTCCATAGGTTTCCAGGACGGTAAATCTTTAAGGAAGTAGGTGTGGCACTGTAGGATAAGGAATGGACTATTAACTGTAAGGTTGGCAATTCAAACACACCACCCGCTCCTGGGAAACCCTATACAGGGTTGCTGTGAGTAGGAACTGACTCAATGGCACTTAACACCAACAACAGAACCCAGCCTAAGGCATCTTGCATTTCAAGGAGGTTGTCTCATATTTCCCTCAAGGCCATCATTGTATAGATTCCTGGTTTTCTTGTAAAAAATGAAAGGTAAATTCACAGGTGTGCTCCTCATCTTAAATGGGTTTTAAGAAAATTGTATGTAATAATGACACTGATTTTTTTTTTAGATTTTCAGATAATCCCACATTTGACTACACAGAGTATCTCAGGACATACCTCAGGAATGTCAAGAAATGCACATACTTTCATGCTCAAAGATTACTTAAAATAGACTCAAATAACAGCTCCATCTGTGAGAAGTAACTCTTGTGGTCCATCTTCAGGAATTCATGACATTGCAAAACCTGAAGGACAGATTGTTGATGTAAGCAGGCTATTCTGGGGCTAGGAAATTTAAATAAAAATACAGCCATTAAGACCTTGGGCAAGCCATTTTGGCTTCTCTGGGGGGGTGGTGGGAAAATGGGACATATCATAGAATTGTATATGGAGAACTGGAACTGGAGGAGAGGCTTTTGCAGGGACAAGAATAAAAACCATTTGTGGAAGGCCATTTGACATGTCTGTTTTTGTTACAGGGCTGGGCGCCCGATTTTGCAAAATTGAATGAAGAAAACCTTACTCTCGCTAAAGTGAGTACAGATTGGATTACTTGAACGTTTGTCAGTATAGACAACGTTTCTCACAAATTTGGGGGCCTGTCCAGGATTTTTTGCCCACTTGGAGCAGCAGCCCTGTTGGAAAAGGAGACGCATCCCACCTTAGTTTTGGCGGCCTATTCCACAGGGTTGATTGCCTCCCTGAGAGAGCCAGAAAAAGACCTCAGACAGTTCAAAGGTGATCAGAATTAGCGAGAGACATGTGGAGGACTAAGAAGACAGTAACGCGGCGACCAAGCAATCTGTGCACAGGCCAGGGCAGGAAAATTTGACTGTAAGTATTGCCCTGGTGGTCAGGCATTTTGGGGGGTCATTGTGTGTCTGAGATGCATCTTGGATGCGAAGCAAGTGCAGAGTCCCAATCTGGATGGAGAAGGACAAAGTGAAATCTCGGGGTTGTATGCAAGAAATCTCCATGAGTACCCAAACATGGGGAAATTTTGGGAGGTTGAGTATGCAAGGAAAATCAGACACTAGGGGAACTGAATTCTAGGGGAACGGAATTCTAGACCTAGGGAAGAAGAGAGCAGGAGAGACTCCCACAGACATTCCTCCTGTCAGTCTTTTGGTGAGAATGTTGAGGACTTGGGGGGTCAATCCC